ACAGATGGGTCGCTACAAAACACCTAGGCCTCTTACCTAGTGACACTCCCTCCATCTTCTGATGACAGATCAGCTCATATACCATGTCACCTTTGAAACTTTGATATGATGCGTATGAAACGTGCAAATGTAATGTATTCATGGCTTGCAGAATGTATAATGCCAACATTTTCTACTTGCGACTGGGCTGTCAATATTGTAATTGAAAACCTCTTTTGTAGGCCATAAAAGTTTCAAAAGGTTTGAAACAAACAACAGCACGATAAAATGTGGCCAAATTGTCGTGACTTAACTTTTAAAAAAAATGCTGATAATAAAACAGGCAAACTTTGTACCATTCTGCTGAGTGCAGAGTGTGTGAGATTGGACACTGCTGCACCATTCATCCACACCAGGTGATCTCCCTTACACACCCCGGCCTTTTCAGCCGCACCTCCTTTAACCAGGTTCACAGAGAAGCGACCTTTCCCTCCTGCAAAGCAGAAACAGGAGGAGCAACTGAATACCACTACAAAGAATTCAGCTCAACACCCCTCCATTAGATATCTAATCTTGAACCTTGGACTTGTTGTGATTACCAGGAGTAGTGTTACCTTCTATGGGTGTGAAGTTGATGCCCAGACCTGAGACAGGATCCCTGGTAATGTGGCAGAGTCTGGGTGGTTTGCAGCCCTTCCCTCTGGCCAGACCTCGGAGGTCTTGACCTCGGGACATGGCCTGCTCATACTCCTCACCATCCAACACTAATAAACATAACTGGTGTCCACTTTGCTTTATCATCTTAGCCACCTGATTCATAAAAAGGAAATGGTTCAAGTTAAAATCCTCTCAGTCCTTTGGAGAGGCGTCTGTGAGTTGAATAATGTATGAAGCTCCTCTTACCTCAGGGTGAGGGACATCATCAACATAGCAGTTGTTGACTCCCAGAAGCCTGTCTCCATCTTTAAGGCCACTGCACGCCGCTATGCCTCCTGACACTACATTTCTGATTACATGACCCTGGCACCCCCTCTCCACCCGCAGATGGAAGGCATAGGACTCCCCTTCCTCCCGTTTAAGGACACACAAACGAGGGCTGGGCGTCGACACAAAGTCTGAGCCAGGAAGAGACAGAAAAGCGCTGTCGTACCTTCTCAGAGCACAGAAAACAATTATAAATGTGTATGCAAGATACCTTCTGTGATCACCATCACTGGGTTGTCTATTCCCTCTTTCGGATTAAATGTAAATTTTCTGCAAAGGGTGAAAGGAAAAACATTTGACTCAAGGTTTAATTACAAACTGTTGAATATTAAATCTCATAAACTGGTAGGTGTACTGAACAACAAAACAAAGCAAAGTAAAGAACACAATTTCCCTTTTGTTTATGACCCTCTAAATCTGTTCTTGCTCAAGCAGATGAAGGAACAAGAAACGTATATGTTTTTCGAAATTTTAATGAAAGCACTCAATTAATTGCATCAATTACAATTTCAAGATCAGTTGCACAACCTCATCTGTGATGACGACACCATCAACATTTGTCTGTGAAAAGTGGGCCTTATCTGGGGCCCAAAGTCTTAGCAAAATACGTGACCTGCAAAATGACAATTTGTTTACCAGTAGCTCACCATGTGTTATGCTGAATTCGTAAAGGAATATTATTGTTTTAACAGGATAAAGTGGTGTTGTGTCAGTATGCCCTTTCCTAACCCTTTCTCTGTGATGCTTGGTCTGTCGGAGCTAAATCGAATGATTGATAACTGATATATTGTCTAAAGCGTCATTTTTATTCAAGCAATATTCATAATGGTTTAAATAGACTTTTTTTTATTTAGATATTTTTTGGCCATTTTGCCTTTAATGGACAGGACAGGTAAGCGTGAAGGGGGGAGAGAGAGAGAGAGAGGGGGGATGACATGCAGCAAAGGGCCACAGGCTGGATTAGAACCCGGGCCGCTGCGGCAACAGCCTTGTACATGGGGCGCCTGCTCTACCACTAAGCCACCGATGCTCCTTAAATAGACATTTTGATATTATCTCCTGATCTTTGCTGAGCAACAGTTATGTGTAAAAGGAATTAAAGGCCTGTCCCATATAGAGGTCTGTCCCAAATATACGCATGTTGATTTCAGTGATTTCAGCAAATAATAGCCTGGGCTTTTAATTGAAATAAGGTAATTGGGAACCACGATTAATAAGAGCAAACCTATGTCAAAATATCTGTTTAAAAGCTCTCACACAACTCGTGTAGTAACATCCATGTCTCATTTATCCAGTCATAGGCTCTGTATATTTTTCCAAACACATGCATTTTCACAAAAAATTGCAATATGAAATACTTCCAACTTACAGTAGCATACCCTGAGTGTACTTGAACATACTTTGCCGTGCATGAGACTGTGCTGAAAATTGTGACATCTTAATGAAAATGCATGTGTTTGGGAAGTACTGTGTGTACTGTGCGTGAGTTGTGTGAGAGTTTGTTAAAGTCTCCTCACAAATTCAAGATAACACGCTGTGAGTAACTGATATAAAAAAGGTCCTTTTGTGGATGAGATTACTATGTTTCAAAAGTCAACATGCCAATTACATCTATATAATTCCTGCTAGGCTGTATAAACTGTAGTGTGGTCAGGTCCAACTCAGTTCTATGCTGTGCCTGATCATCTTATTATTTCAGTGTAGCAATGCAGTGTCAATGTTTAAGTTTGAACTGATACTGACATAATGAGGGTATTTAAGAATGTATGAACACTGGTGCAAACATTTAGATAAAAAGCAAACTTACTCTGTCAACCCTATGATTTCCACCAAACCTTGAAAAACAGATATCAAATGAATTTAACATCTTTAGCAGCACAACATTCACATAGTGAAATTCGATATTCACACATTTCTGCATTTATTTACCAAAATACATGACATAGAATTCATTTTCAATCACCACTGATACCACACATCCGTTGCATTAAATTTTGCAGCATACCAGCACAAATCAGACATTATCATAAACTGTTAATCCCTTGATGTAATATTAGTTTGAACTTACAGCTCTGTGAACGTCTGCGTGGTTCTGTCTAAACTGTGAGGCATCAGCTTAACAGTAAGACTTGCTTTTGTGTCTTGGATCACCAATGTGTTGACTTTAACCTCTCAGCTGAGGGATCATAAAACAGGGTTTGACTTTATGTAATTATCTTTAGTCTTTGCCCCCTCTTAAAGGGAGAGGTTATCAAACGACATTAAACACCTTTAAAGGTGCAAATGTCCAACTAATGACTGATATAGAATGGAAACTTGGCAGCACCTGGCACATAAACTATCAGTCAGTCAATTGGCAATTTCAAATAAATCATTTGTTTTTAAGTGGATTATTGCATCAGGACAACTGAGACTGTAATATTTTCGGGAAAATATAATTAGGTCCAGTGTGTAAGATATAGGGAGATATACTGTCAGAAATGGACTAAAATATAATTAGTATATTTTTTTGTGTACATCACCTGAAAATAAGAACTGTTGTGTTTTAGTTACCCTAGCATGAGCTTTTTATATCTAGATAAGGAGCGGGTCCTCGTCCACGGAGATCACCACGTTGCACTGCCATGTTTCTACAGTAGCCCAGAATGGACAAACCCAACAACTGATAGATAGAGCAATTCACGTTTTCATGTTGGCCACTGTAGTTAGCAGCCCCTCCACGATGAGCAGCATCAGAAAACAGTGGGTTTTAAATGTGAATTGCCTTATTCAGTGTTTTTAACTGTTCAAATCAACTGGTCCGTTTGTTTTGGAAAGGAAGTGACCTCTGCAGATAATTCAGCTCCCGCTAAAAACCTCCTGAACATCTGGATCAGAAAATAAGGTGAGCACAAATTACGTTATCAGAGAAAAAAGGTGAGCATGCACGCTCTTTGGAGACAGGCAAAACCATGTCTGAAAAACACTGATTTTTCATGTTTAACTGTTTTATTCAGTGTTTATACTGGCTTTAATCATCTGGTCCATTTGTTTTGGAGAGGATGAGACCTCTGTGGATAATTTGGTTCCCAGTAAAAATCACTTGAACAATGAAGGATTTCCAACCAGTTTTGGCAGTTTGCATTCTGCATTCCTTACTGCGAGATGCCACAAAATCCTCCCAAATCTTAAACTGCTCCTTTAAATCTTCACGAACAGTGTAATTGTTAGTCCATGATACCTCATGGGTTGAAAAAAAAACATCCCTCTTACATGAAATGTTATGATTGTCTCAATAATTGAACCATTTATTCATTATTTTTTATTCCTTCTTAAGTGTTGTTCCACAGGGATTCGTTTTGGGCCCTGTCCTGTTTACATATATGTAGATGAGATTGTCTCTTGTGTGTCTATCGTGTTAGAAATTACAGCTCTCTGTTAATGTATTGCAAGTTGCGTGTACCGATATTGAATTTCGACTAAATGAAAAGAATACAACATTACAGTAATATAGATATATTTCTGCTCTGATCATTTAATTTTGAGAGTGTCACAGGCTTGGCTTGTTGTACAGACACAGAAGCAGCTTTTCTCTGAGCTGCAGAAAGAGGACTGTTGAAGCAACTTTGCTCTCAGATCTGGATACACTCCCTTTCTGCTCTCAGGCTCATTACTGGTGATAATTATAACACTTGCTGCAATCTATATGATAATGTTGGTCGGCCTTGCCTGTCTGAGTGAAGTAATAACTAGTGGCACTTATTTATCTCATCCTTGCTGCTCTGGTACTCTGACCTGTGCTTAGCTTGCAGCAGCCTTGAACGAGAGCTGATCTAGGAAAATCTGTCTTTTCTATCAGGGCAACGGTCTCATAGAATAATCGGTGATGTCTCCAGATAATCAGAACACTCCTACCTCCCTGCACCTTATAATATTTATTGATTGATATCATTCTATAAAAAAACTGTTAACAGGGCTTGTGTATGCTCAGCCAGCTTGTCCAGGATAAATCAGGGTTCAATAGAAATAAAATAATGGCCCTTTATGGCCATTAGGAGGAATAAAACATTTCTACCTTCCTGAGACCCAGTAATTCATATTTGTCCTCTGTGAGGGACATGACAGTGAGGCCTTTATTTAAACGCCATGCATGCAGTCTACTTGAGTACTGATGTACTGTACAAAGGACATCCTGGGCTTTAATGGAAGCAAGGGAGACAGGTGAAGGAATCTGTTATAAAAACATTAATAAATACATTTTTTGAGAAAAATAAATCTTTGTCATAGGTTTCTTACATCCTAATTACATAAAGGAACAGCGTGAAAGGTTTGGGGGATTTAGGGGCATCTAGTGGTGAGGATTGCAGATTGCAACCAGCTGAAACATCTGCTGGTTAGAATTCCTTCAATGTCCATTGTTCAGAAAGTTTTTAAGGGGAGCCGTATCATCCTCATCCGTTTCTCTCTTGTAGATAGGTCACTAGCCCAGCACCTGCTAACGTGTGCTCACCTTTTTTCTCTTTAACTTAAGATCCAGACATGAAATAAGGTTTTGCCTGGAAGCCAAATTATCCACATCGTGGAGGGGCTGCTAACTAACACAAATGACCCTGATCTAGAGCCAGTCAGTACGTTTACATGCACAGTTTAGTCTAGCTAGGGTTATAGCTCAACTAGGCCATTTAATTGGATCACTGTCCTTGTCCCAGTATACAAACATGGGAGGGGACCTAATTTATTGACCAAAGTATGTATGACTCCACTATGATGGGTGGCGATATGCCCCCTTACAGCTAGTTAGTACTGGACCTTTTTCCAGTTTCCCTATTACATCACAGACCAAACAATCAACAAACTAGTTAACTACAGTTAGCTAGCAGCAAACTGGTACCATGGTGGACAACTTTATGGCTCTGTACATTTCGTACATGCTGTACGCTTTACTTTTTCTCTTTCTTCTCTTCCTCTGTTATGCATTTAATGATATTCGACTTCCGGGTCAAAGCCTGGGGCAAAAACTGTAGAGCATGCGTAGAGCGCCTAGACCAGTTCGGGTCCGTTTGACTGTATACATGCAGGAGGAATTCGACTCCCGATTGCTTTATCTGGGTGTATTAGTCCAACTTTGAAATTAGTTTTCCTCTGGGCTACTGTAGAAACATTGTGGTGCAACATGGTGATCTCAGTAGATGAGAACCGGCTCCCTATGTAAATATAAACGGCTCATTCTAAGGTAACAAAAACACAGTGATTGTTCTTGTCAGGTGATTGTACACTAAAGAAAACATACTTGTTATATTTTATTAAATCCTACACACTGGACCTTTAAATTAAATCAATTTTCTTGCAGGTCTCAGGAGACTGTAGCTGACACACTTAACTGTCACTGCTTATCTGTTTGGTTCATCATGTCAGCGACACTGAGCCCTTGTCTCTCTGACACAGTGTCAAATAAAAACAAACTGTTACAATAACATAAGGCACTTAGTAACTCTCTGCTCCCAGATGAAATGCATCTCTCACATCTACATGGCTAAGCAGCTCCTCTCCTGAATAGCTCATACCAGAGGCACTTCAGTGCCGCTAATGGGTCACTGTTTGCTTTTTACCCACCATAAAGCTTTTATTTAATGTCCTACAGCATAGCGGCCCTCTATAGACACACTAAGACAAGCTGCTGAAGCTTGATGGTTGAGAATTTTGAATGATCACAGTTCAAATATATCATTTTCTTTTCAATCTTGGAAGCACTACCCAAACACATAGATTGAATTTGTTCCACAGGGCAAGGTACAGTAATCAAGTCTATCTCTCATTAGACAAATGGTTAACACTGATCTAGGTTTGAGCCTACATGCAGCACAGTACAAAGATAATATATACAGACAACCTAGACAAGATAGCTGACTAACAAAGATGAGGAAACGTTTAAAGGTTTGAATTCATTACCTGTGCTTGCTTTCATGTTGTGTCTCTTTCCCATCTGGGCAGCAGTCACTGACACAGAGAGATGAAACAGTGGGAGTACTGTACGCACAAACATTTATTCTGACCACAGAGAGACTCCTCCCTTACAGGGACACCGGGCTTAATGTTTAAACTGTGAGTGAAATTTTGAGCACACATGATTATGTGTAACGACCGCTTCGCATTGTACCATGGACTGATAGTACAAAAGCCATAACGAGATCACTCCCTAACTGTCTGTCTGACTTTTATCTTGTTATTCTGTTAAAGTGAGAACTATCTATGCATGTGTGCGTTCTATATCTGTGCCCTGTTCCCATCAGGATTACAGCCAAGACTGACTGTCAATGTCAAGGCCAAAGCCTGGTGACAAGTTGCACAAACACACCAACATTCCAATAAAAATAACAGTGATATGTGGTTTGGCGGCAGAGGGAATAATGCTGATGGTGAGCAATGACTAAGAACTGATTGACTGGAAATACAGAGAGAAGGAGGGAGATGAGAAAGCAAAGCATTATTCATGGCCATATCTATTTCCCTTGAAGGGTTCCAGGAAGCCAGACAACACTTAGAGACACAGTAATGGAGATGGGAGGTTTATAACTGGGTTCAAATTTTTATGATGTCACTGTATTTTTCCAGCATTTTCTAAGATGATTGGATTTCTCTGGATAAAATATTCTGAGGTTAAAGTGATGACATCCAGCATTTTTAAAGGGATAGTTCGGATCTTTTGAAGTGGGGTCATATGAGGTACTTATCCATAGACAGTGTATTACCTACAGTAGATGTCAGTCGGCACGCCCACAGTTTGGAGAAGCAGGCTTGAGCCTGACACGGGGGCTAAGCAATGTACTGCTGTGGATGGGGTCAGCAACAAAATGTATTTTAGCTACCTAAAAAAATCGGAATCAATTCAAGTGTACACTCTATTTAGATTGTTTTCACTGCTTTACTTTAACGTCAGACAGCACTTTTTGATGGGGAATTGAAACCGATAAATCACTCTCTTCAAAGCCAGACTCCAGTGAGAAAAACAGTAATTTAACATCATTGAACACAGAAGCTGCTGCTCTAGCCCTGCCTCGATCAGTTATTTTAATTTTGTTTTTTATGTCTTTGGTGTTCAGAAGGGTTAGTTCGGAGTCACCAAAGTCACATAATAACACACACTAACAAACGGTAGATAGAGTCCACGGTAGACCAGCAGCTCCCATGTTCAGCAAGCCAAAAAATTTTGTGAATGGAGTCTGGTGGCTTTGACAAAATCATAGATAGGGAAATGAAGCTGCTAACGGCTTCCACGTCTGAACAGGCTTTCTCATGGAAAGGTAAGGTGGTGAAAATACTCTCAATATAGCATACACTTAAAGTGATATAGTGTCATGATCTACCCTGCCTGTTACCTGCTGCTCTAGGAAACTTCCACTCACCCTGACTCCTCCTCACTCACCTACCAGCCACACCTCCTAATCAATCTCATCACTCCCACCTGGTCTTCCCAGCTGCTCCACATCACCAAGCACTCGGCTTGCCTCTGATCTTCTCTTCTCTTCTCTTCTCGTCTCTGCCCCGGTAAACACTACAGCCTTCCGTTCCTGAGTACGGGTTTTGCCTGAGAGTTTTCTGGTCTCCGTCTGCTGTTGGCTGTGTGGCGATTCACCGCTCCTGTTTTTCCTCTCCTGCCGGTTCTTCGACCCTCTGCCTGCTCTCGACAATCAATCCTGTGGTAACTTGCTTATCTGGCACACGGGAGACAGGGGTTCGAATCCTGCCTGAACACTCGCTGCATAAGTGTTTAATAAAGACTATTGCTACTGCTACTGGTGCATTTGTGTTGCATTTGGGTCGTGCCACACACAGTGACATATAGATCTTTTTTGTAGATGGGACTTTTTTTTAGGTGGTTTAGATACATTTTGCTGCTGCCCCTATCCACAGCAACACATTGCTTAGCTTCCATATCAGCACTCCTGCTTCTATACACTGACTATACATAAGTACCTCATACAACCCCACTTAAAAAAATCCAAACTACCCATCTGATGTTCATATGAGCTACAGATTTCAGAAATGATAATACATAAAGACGGGCAATTCCAGTGAGCTTTTGTGTGCTAAAATTCCAATAAACCATCCACATGACAGCATTGTTATCAACTTATATGTATGTCTGAGTAATGCAAGTTGTAATGACAAAAAACCACAGTGCATGACCTCTCACCCACTTGGGTGGTCAGAGTATGTGCATGTCTGTTTGAACAAAAAGGTTTTCTTTGGAGAGATGATACTTTTTGCTGCAATTCAGGGTAAATTTGTGCAGAGTCACGCTAGCATTGCCAGATTTGAGCATGGCAAGTATTCAGATGCTTTTAGGGAAGTGCTATATACATGGATTTGGTCACAAAGTCACAGAAGTAGAGCAGCATGCTGGTAGAGGGAGTACATGACACTAGATGCTCAACAGGTGGCACTGCAGCATGTCCAGAATATTCCACTGTCAGAAAATAGCATTACTCTGTTTGGTGATATCACTGTGAAGTATGGACATTAATTTTTAGGGGGCTTCTGTTGTTCCCCATTAAAATGCATCAAAAACATATAGTTGTTACCCATGTGAACATGAGAACAGAAGCAACACAACATATTGAAACTGTCTCCAACAATGTTTAATTGAGACCTCAGTCCACTAGATGGCAACAAATTCCAAATCAAATATGTGTGCACTGAAAACAGCATTTTATTGAAATTACACATAACTTGAATCACAAATGGGAATGTATTTGCTGAAACTTGATAATGTTTTAAAATTTCTGATAAGATAAGCCAAGTCAAAACCTATAAGTATGTGTTTATGCTGGGGAGGAAACAGGTTTGAACTCTCTACTGCATGTGTAAATTGCTTTATTTTTAATTTTATTTCTGTTTATATTGTAGCCCTATGTTTTAACTTGCATTATTTTATGTCTTACATGCCTATTGTGCTTTTATTTGCACAGGTTTCTTTTCTTTTTGCACATTTAATAAGCACTGTCAAAGGGAGGTCCAAGATTTTCATTGCCAGCTACTGCTTCTATAATTGTTGTGCATTTTATAAGATAATGTTAAGATTATCCTTTAGGTCCCACAGTGGGGACATTTGCATTGTTACAGGAGCCAAGGGGAAAGTGTAAAACAAGAAGCATTATAACAAGTATGCATCAGAAAAAAACACAGAGCAATATGACAAGTAAGCTGTAAAAATAAGCAAAATATAGGCTAATAAATAGACAGGCTGAATGGCTGAATTCACATTATTGCATGTAGGAAGTATTGCACAGTTTAGTATGTATAGATATTGCACCTGATTGATGACTGTAAACATTGACAACATTTTAAAAAAGGATAATGAAGAAGTTGAATCGTTGTATTTACCACAAAGAAGGCAGCTGACCCATGGATACATTTAACCAAAATTCAAAGACACTGGTCCCAACTTTGAGCCATTCACTCTTCAGACCTTACATCAAAATGATTTGTCTTTATTGGTCCCTCCTCTGACTGGTATTTGTAACCAGTTAAAACTACTCATCCTCCTGCCTTTTAGGTGCAAAGGCCCACACACAGTCAATTAGTAACTTCCCTTCTGCTGACATTCAAAGGTTAGGCTACAACAGTGAGTTTGTGAAAATGAAATGAAAACCCAATGACCCATGATGGTTTGTGAGGGCATTATTTAGCCTGTCTGTTACAGTTCAAGTCAGATTAAATTTTTCTAAGTTGACAATAGGGTGGTTTTACCGTCCTCATGTGACAGTGAGTGTGACAATAAATGGAGGGAGCTCGGTGAACGTGAATAGTGGTGGATCTTCCTGTAGGTGACAGGTAGCTGCATAGGATGCCACCCAGGGGCCACACAGTACAAAAACAAGAAGACGAAATTTGCAAATTTACACATACATTGTATTTTCTTATTGTTTGTTATTTATAGTCATAGTTTGTTGGCTAAGTTGTTTATTTGTGCTGATTTGTCATTAGCTCTTGTTAGTAATAAATACAATAAATAAAGATTATGTGGATTATCAAAAAAAAAATTAGGGTAATTGTTATTTATTTATTTATTTAAATGGGGCACCAATTTTCTTTTTGTTTGTTTTTTCCTATGTAAAAAATTAATAAAACATAAGGGAAATGGTGAGGTGTGTAAGTGGAGAATATTAAAATAAAAAACAAGAGGAAGTGTTTGTGTTGCGTTAGGGTTTAAAAAAAATATGTAGACTAACAATGATAAGTGTTTTTTTAATTGATTTATTTATTTATTTTCAATTATTTTAATGCTGGACACCAGGGGAAGCCTGCCAAGGGCACCAAATGTGCTAGATCCAGCACTGACGGTGAACCTTTTAAATGACACAGAGAAACAACAGAAAATTAGTGTGTACACAGTATGTTCATTCCTCTAACCTCTGCCTCTGTAACGTGGAGCAGAGTGAATGATAGAGAGAAAGAGAGAGAAAAGAAGAGAAGAGCCAATAGGGTTTCTATGGGACTTTTCAATCCTGATTCTGGATCCAAGTGTCAGTCCCTCTCAGTCATCCCTGATGGGATCCTCCCAGCCACAGGAAGACACGGAGCTCCCATCTGTGCCTAAATCCTTGCCAAAGCACTGGAGTGTACTAACGGTCAAATATCTGTAAAGGAGACAGTTACCTTTTTGTACGCGTGATCCCATGTGCTGCACATATCTCAAGTCCAAGCATGGCTGCTCTTCTGTGAACCTCACTTGACTCCTCGATGGGCTGCAGGAGCTGAAATGCAAAGAGAGATGGGGGCATGTGGTTGGGGAGTCTATAAGGAAAGACAAGGGCAAAGGCTGCAGAACCACTAGTGCTGCCCCTTCATTTTGCATGGCGCCTGAGGCTAATCTCAGCTTCAGCGGGCCTGTGTGACATCCTTGCAGAAGAGTCCAAAGGCTGCTCTTTTTATCGTGACACACATGGCTTCTCTGTTTGTGTCTGAGTCTTGCGTTTCCTTGGTCTGTGAATCCATGGCAACAGCAGCAGCGTGAATGGTCTATTCAGGACGGCCTCCACTACACGCTCTGCCCCTGAGACTATAGATCAGCACACAAATTGCATGCTTGGTTTGGTCCCGGTTTATTAGACGTGGTCCCAGGTGGGAAACAAAAGTCATCAATTTAATATCAGGAAAAAGGAAATGGGAAACTGCTGTTTGGGTTCTGTGTAATCCTCTGTCATCTCTGATATTCATTCATTTAGCTCTGGAGTGCAAAACCAATCATTTGCTTATTTATTCATGATTGCTTTCCCTAAAATGTTACCGCTTGTGTTCAGAAATCCAAGTACTGTGGTTTTTAGGGGGTTTATTCATACCTTCTGACAGAACAGATGGAGAGAGAAACATTGGTGGTACATCTTTAACATTAATATGATGATGCATGTTTGCGATGCAGGAATTCTTTCTTGAACCTTTTTGTAGATTATATACCCTACCCTAACACTTTCCTGTAGAATCTCTTAAAAATGTGTTTCTTCTATTTTTTTTTTGTCAGTAGTTTTGGCCTGGATGGATAACAAGCCAGATGTTGTTTAGTAGGACTCCAATGCTCTTGGGGCAATTCATCATATGACACCTCGGAAAATAGAAAAGTCAACATCATGGGGAATTTCATCATCATTTCTGGCAAAGTTTAATAACATTTCATCTGTTTTTGAAACTCACTTGATAAATCTGCGATGGAATTATCTGAATGCACATGGACGTTCATCATTTGGAGGAGCAGCTTGTGGGGATAAGGCCTAATGTTATGACGCTGGAGAATCTCCACCAACAATTAAAGGGGAACGCCAAACATTCTCATCTCAACTCATCAAATACCGGCGCTTTGTCAGTGTACATGCACGTCAAAATATGACTTGCTAGGTACCCTCCTGTGTCTGTTTTGGACACTCATGGATGGCGTGTCAATGTACACTTACTACATGCATCATCTCTTTTCAAAATAAACTTCCGTTTTCACAGGAAATGCACAGTTTCTGCTTTTAACATGTAACAGGGTCAATTATACAGCAGTATGGTTTAACAAAGTCAAATGTATATTTGTAATATTAAGTATTATAATTACACAAAATTTGTTTCAGTTGTTATTACCTGACAATATGTCAATATGTTGAATGTTTGATACTCAGTTTCTGTACCCCTACGTTCACCTTTGGGGGTACCCCACCTATAAAGGGGTGTGCTGTTGTACTCCATGGGAGAGGTAAGTGACATTGCTCTCGTAGTACTTTCTGTGGTATAGCGCTGTTAAGCTGTTTTTAAAGTTCATTTTTTAGCCTAAACTTATTGTATAATATGCTGAAATATTCCTGTGTCACTTAATTTGTGTAGGGTTTCGAATTATGTGGTTGTAATTAACGGAATTTTGTTTTTACCTCTTGCTGTCAGGTATGTTGTGTGGGTTTTTATTGTACTGAATTGAATGTAACATGGCCGTCCTTTTGCTGTTGTACTCCATGGGAGAGGGGCTCGAGTTATGTGGTAGTAATTGACCGAGGATTTTGTTTTCCCCTCTTGCTGTCAGAATTGTCAGGAGTAAACGGATATCGCCTCCAAAGATATCCATGGTCTGGGCCTCTTCATATCAACACAATGCAGACTAGCGTCCATCGGTTATATACAGTCTTTTTCAAAATAAACTTACCACGTAGGTA